CTCGGGCGGCGACACCCACCTGGGCGGCCAGGACTTCGACGTGCTCCTCCTCGAGCACTGCCTCAAGGTAGGTCGCCGTCGTCGTCGTCGTCGCACTTCGGCCCTCGCGGGAAACCTCAGGGCACACGCATCATGATCACTCTCCCCTTTCCAGGACGCACAGCGCCAGTTTGGCGTTGACTTGTCGAACGACAAGCAGGTCGTGCAGGACCTTCGCAAGGCTTGCGAGCTCGCCAAGCGAAAGCTCTCAAACATGCCTCAGGCACAAGTTTCAGTGTTCTTTCCCCGACTTAGCAAGGGGTACCAGACCACCATCTCGAGGGCGCTCTTCGAGGATCTCTGCGCCGAACTGTTCAAGAAAACCATCAAGGTCAGCGAAGAGGTGCTGGCCGAAGCAAATGTAAGGATCACGTTCTCCCCTTGTAAATACTTCCATCCGGCGAGTTTGATCACGTTGGTGACGCTTGTGACTTCCGCAGGTGACGCGCGCTCAGGTGCAAGAGGTGGTGCTGGTGGGTGGCTCCACCCGCATTCCCAAGGTGCGCACGCTGCTCCGGGACATGTTCGGCGGCAAGGAGCTCCGCCAGTCCATCAACCCGGACGAGGCCGTGGCGTACGGCGCGGCGGTGCACGCTGCCGTGCTGACCGGCGACAAGTTCTTCGACAAGACTGTCACCCTCAAGGACGTGACAGCGCTCTCCTTGGGCGTCGTCGTCGTTGGGGAGAGGTTTGACCCCATCATTAAGAAGAACACGCCTATCCCCTGCAAGAACACCAAAACGTACCGTACTGTCTGTAATAATCAGCCAAAGGCATATTCGCAGGTGAGATTACCTTACGAACTGATGTCCTGTAAATTACATTTTGCGTCTTAATTATGGAACTAATTATCCGCGCTCTTGCCGGCCTGTTTGTCAACAGGTGTACCAAGGTGAGAGGCCTCTGGTAAAGGACAATCACTACCTGAACAAGGACTTTGAGATCGAGGTCCCGCTGAGGCCTGCTGGCCAGGCCACTGTCGACGTGACCTACGAGATCGACGAGAGCGGTCTGCTGACGGTGACGTGCGTGGAGCCCACCGCCGGGCGCCAGGTGAAGGTGCAGGTCACGCCGCAGGAGGCGCACCTCAGCGAGGCTGACATCCAGGCCATGATCGAGAAGGCGAACCGCTACAAGCGTGAGGACCAGGACGCTCTACGAGACGTTGAGGAGCAGCTCCGCAGGCAACATCTATTGTAGTTTTTCAAGTTTTCTTTTTTTTTTTAAATTAC